TGATAATTAATGAAGAAAAGAACATATTGTAGAGCAGTCTGTTTCTTTTTTCCAGTTAAAGAACATGTCGCAATCCGTTTATATTTTCGTAATACATATCGCAAGAAAGAGAGTGAGATTGATGAACTTAACGATATATCGTTAAGGAAACTAAAACCTATGTGTTTCTTTCGTTTACAAAGGAAATACGTTATATTAAGATTAATTGAGATTACCGTGATTAGAAAGGCAAGAGCATCGAAATTCAAAATCTCCGTTTTTTTCTGGAAATTTTTGTACGAAAGGCATAATAGTAGCCTTCCCCACCCCTCCATAATACAAGCGCCCCCTAAAAATTTTGAACGCTTGAACAGTTTAGAAGCCCCAGAGGCTTCTGTTATGGGGAGGGGTTTACTTATGTGTTATTCAATGATCTGTTATGTTCTTACAGCTGCAAGATAATTTTTTCTGATGAAGTAATAGGAGAAATAATGATATTCTAATTATCTTGAATATTGAGAACAGACAGACTTCGCTGAATTAAAAATAATTGGTTTACGAAATAACTCCGTTAAAAATTTGTCTAAAATTTGATGATAAATCGAGAATTTATACATATTATTGTACATTTACTCGTTGCTCATATCATGTGTATGAAAGTGATATATTCGTTTTAGATCCAAGAAAGATCCACTGAACATAGATTGTTGTATGCTAAAATAGATACTTTTACTCATATATACTAAAATATGTCATGGATAATGTGGTGCTTAAATATATTATAGGACTTATTCTTATCGCCTTTGCATTGCTAGTAACACTGCAAAAACTATATCCGACATACGGTGTAACAAGTTTCAAAGGGTCGATCTCCCACCTAGTAAGAAGTATAATCACAATAATAGTATCTGATTCACTTGATTGTTGCAAAGTGTGATAAATTTGATATATTAAACGATTTTTTTCGAATTTTCAGGCCTTACAGACATCCAATTTATTCGCACAGAAATGGAACATATCCGATTTGTTCGTACCGAAAGGAAACTTATCCAATTCAACAACAGAAAATAAAAAATTCTCAAATGACGATTTGAAATATCTTTCTACGCAGCCTTACCGTCTTGCAACTACTTCTGATCATCAAAAAAATCAGTCGATTGACAATTCTTCGTTATTAAGTATCAGTTTAGAGAGGCGAAGCAAATGTAATCCAAGAATGACACGGTTGTGTAATGCTGTGAATAAAAGTTTGTTAATAAGCTTCTGGAGTGAAAAATCGCATTCAAAATGGCTTTCTCAAAATATAGTCACCGCTTTTCCTGAGACCGATTTTGACTGTGTCATTATGCTACATGATAATTCGACGTGGACATCTCATGAGGCTTATACAAAATTTATATGGATTAGAGCTCAGCGACAAATTCGCTTTTGGTATTTGAAGCGATTTATCACACCGTACATTCTTCGAGCGTACCGATACATATGGGTGGTTAACGATGACGCCGAACTGGCGTTTAAACCGTTACATTACCAGTGTGTCGTTGATCATTTAAATATTCCACTCTCTGGTCCTGTCTATCTTTCTGGCGCTCATGCTCATCCCATAACGAACCCGGACAGTAATTTCATACAAAAAATCGGAAGATGGACAGATTTTGTTGAAACAGGAATTGTTCTCGTAGGATCCTCACTAGCATGGGAATGTATCTGGAAATATTTGGATTTGGCTACAGGTTTCGGTTGGGGAATAGATCTCGTGTGGTGTAAAATGATTGGTATCAAATGTTTGCCGAAAGGTCAAGAGAATCGCGCGTGTGCCATTTTAGATGCATTCGGCATGCATCACCGCACTGACGGTATCGTATCAATTGCAAAAGGTTCGCCAGAGGCTGCTGCATATCAAATACTCGAATATAAAATTTTCAATACAAAAATGAAAAATTTTGCTCCTGTAGCGGAAAATCGAGATATTTTTGATTCATGTTCTAAAAATGAAAAAAACTCTTCTGCTGTTATTGTGAGTAAGTTATAGACTGTGACTAATTGATAATATCTTTAGTGATACATTGCACACTCAGGAACATTAATGTTTCTTTTTAGTATTTATCAACTAAACTTGATCAGACGTGATGCAAGGCACAGAAACAAAATTAGCAGCAGGAGATATATACCAATGCGTTAAAAGGGATATTCTCAACCTTGCTTAGACCGGCTTAAGGTTTTTTCTGCCCCTCGTTTGACAATACCTCTTCAAAAGTAGATCTAAACGGCAAAATGCTTGAGAGAACTCGTAACTTTTGTGAAAACACAAATAATTTTCAAAAAAGTTTACTGATTTCCGGGGAAATTTGGAAGCCAGGAATAATGTATTGAAAAAAAGTTCCGGTAATGGTATCGATTTGAAAACTTTTTGGGCTGCGACTGTAGATATGTCACTCATGCATATCTACACCGATTGAGAATAGATTAGTTAATTAGTAGGTTCTGAAGTCTTTCGAAGATCAACGTCCCCTTTTGTATCTAATGCTATTTGATGATCATAACATGGGTCTGTGCTAAGTCTCTCCTGCAGCTAGTTATTAATAGGAATATAAATCCAGCACTGACTAACGCGTCCCTGCTTATTAAGCATCAACCCTAGCGTAACATCCAAATGTTTGAAAATGTTCTCTTTAAATCTGTACATATCATCTTCTCGGGTATCAATCAAATACAAGAAATAGCAGGGTAACTCCATTCTTTTGCTATACAGTTCTATTTGATCAATACACAACCAGAAAAATTCTTTCTTTCTTTTATATCATGTAAAAATAAAGAAATGACGAAGTAACTAAGGCGAACAAATAAAATTATGTTTCAAGAGTATTATTCTCTATTTCCAATTATGTACAGAAACTTTTTTCATAAAAAGACGCACGTTCAAGAGAACGAAATAAAATACAACACCGAACATTTGTTCGCACATTAATCTTGTGCAAACACATCGAACTTACTCGAAAAAGGACGGATGTGTCTTTTCGAACAAACTGCTGTCGAACCTATATCAGTGACAGCACATACATGGTAATTTATTTCAAGTGAGGCATACGAAAATAAGGTCAGAAACATTTTCTTGTCACTAGTCACTACTTGTACAGCCAAACACTAGCAACAGTCTGTATATAATAGAGTTCTTTCACGACTCTACGTGAGTCAGTTATAACTGTTATTAATTGTAATGTTATTAATTATAACCACAGAGCTGTTTGATGCTCGTCACACAAGGTTTTTGTAGGTTTCTCTCTGCTGTCTAACGATAAAGTTAAATTATGAAAAATACGTCACATTCAATAAAGTAACTGCTTAAAAATTCTCTTTTTGCCGTTCTGTTTTGATATATTATTTGTTTTAATTTTACATAAAAATTTCGAAGAAGATGAGAAAAGAACAAACTACTCTATAACAATCTTTTTACAGACACATCGTGCTGCTGCAAAATCTACGATCACTATGCAATGTGCATGTGAAACTGAAGGAATTGCTCGAATGATTCTTTTTATTTCGAGATGTAAATAATGGGATTCAGCATGTGTAATTATGCCAAACGTGCGAGTTGTGTTTCTTGGATGAGATCATTGTTCAAATTTTGAGCACCTAACAGACAAAACCTCGTAAATTTCGACAATATTCTTAATCATTTGTACCCGTCAAGCGCTCATGATTCACTTGGGTAAAACCAGCTAGTATGCATATCTATAGTATCTATAGGTTATAAACGGCTAAAACCTTTTTCAAAACTATTTCACTCAAGCGTGGAATATAAGCTGAAAATTAGCGGATGTCGCCTGCCGGTTTACGAACATCTATCGTTGACTTATGTGCGCCTCGGTCCTGAAAAAAAAATCCAAAGTGTCCCGTACCCGGTGGCCAATGTATGTTTGAAGCCATTGACAACGGGAGTTTCTTTGATATTATTTGATATGCTTTTGCAATTCCATCCACTCCTTTAAATTCAGCTACAGGTTGATAAACTGAATAGTCAATCCATAGTGTTTTTAAACGCCATTTTTTAAATGCCGTGGCATGTGAACAGAAATACGCGCCACGACGAAATTCAAACAAATTGTCGGACGTATAAATAATTTCTGAATTGTTGTTTGGATATTCTGGTCCACATGTACCCAAATATAGTATACCATCTAGATCTGCTAATTTTAACGCTTGTTCAATAATGCCTAGTTAGAATAAATATATGATAGACTATGATACAGCACGTGCACATAACTGAAGAGGGGAAACGTCTCGAAGTTGAAAATATTGGATAATAATTGAAAAGTTCTGGATACTTCTTTGATAATTTATTAGTTGTACAAAAAGTTTCGAGAAGATTAGAAAGTTGAACTCAGGAACAACATAGCAACCGTCTTCGACTTAACTTTGTGGCAGGTATTCAGAACGTCTCTGACCATATGCTATTCCGAAAATGCACTAACCATGTGTTAAGGTAAGCTCACACTAATCTTGCCCTGCCTAGTATTCTGGGGTTTGGTGCGGGTTTGGACATGTATCCCTGTATATCTTTAGCATGATATATACTCTTCTTACCCCTTAATGAATGATGCGGATTTGAATAATTCCATTTTGAATAAATGTGTGGAAAATGATTTTTCAAATCTACAATATTCACGTCATCTTCAAATACAAAACACCAATCATTATCGCCATATTCATGATCTGATCGTGATGAAAGATTTAACCACATGTCAATATGTGAGAGTAAATTTGATGACTGTCTGACATTTCCATTAATTCGTGTATCATTAAATGGTATCGCTTGAAAATGCTCAAATTTAAAATATCCAGGAAGGGCTTTTTCTATATTTGAAACGGTGAAACTATAACGTGCTGGAACTGATGATAATACATATGCGGGATGTGGTGGACCACCTTTTAATGGTGAAAGTAATTGATAAGAAATATTTTTAGAACAAACATTTTTCCGATTCAGAGTAAAAGTGGTAAAAATAATTCCGAAAATAAAACTGAGTAAATAATAGCGATAATAATAAATTATTTTTCGAAATTCTATTTTATTAACAATACTTTTGAGCGCACTTATTAGCTGAATGTGTAGCATATGTGGTTCTAATTGAATTAATACAAGTAAAATTATTTGAGATTAGATTTCTATAAATAATAGATATAGGTAGTAAATTGAAGTCAAATATTTTGCTAATTTACATGACAGCCTGTAATGTAGATTAAGCATGTGCCTAGGATTTGGCAGGGGGATTAAAAATATTTTCATCCAGTAGAAGGTGAACCCTTCGTTTTCGTATAATTCCTATCTTTGCTTTTTCAAAGTACAGCGATATTACGAATAATTAGGGACGACTTTTTCCATGGGTGGGAGGGGACATTGATCCCTCAATCCTCCCCTCTGGGCACGCGCATGCTGTAGATATGGTTATTTATGAAATTATTTATGAAAAATGGTTTATATGAATGAATCAGATTTATTTCGACAATCTATCTCTTACCTGAGCTAAGGAGTCATCAGTGCTCGACGCTTAAGGGCCCCCCCCCCTCAGAAATGGTGATTTTCGGTCAGAAAATCGGTTTTAAGATACACACATGGAAAGATAGCCTGAAGTGTCTACTTCCAGAATCTGTATTGCTTTTGGTTACAAAACTGGTTTTTCGGG